AGCCTGGCTCTGACTGGTCAGCGTGCGCAGGTCCTCCTTGCTCTGTGCATCTGCATTCTTCTTGGTGGATTTCTCTGACAGGTCGTCATGAGCTGGCTGGCTCTTTGAACGCCGAACAGGATCCCTCCAGCTGTCCTTTTCTTGGCCGTGGAACACCCTCCAACGTTGGCTGGAGCTTCGGCGTCTGAGTGGCTCCTGGCTTGAGCTGGTTGAGCTGGGCTGAGAGTCCTTGGAAACAGAGGCCCGGACCTGGCTCGCATCTTCGGGTGAAGGTGTGAAGACTTCTGCGGCGTCGATCCGAGAATTGGAGTGGTTTCTCGGAGCCTGTCCACCGAGCTTAGAGATCCTCTGCGTCTCCGGCAAATCCAGCTGCATGGAGATAGGTTGGGGCAGGTTGCTACAGTCAGTTTTGCTGGATCTGGCAGCTTCTGATTGCGCTGATGTCCTGGTCTGCTTGAAGAGCTGCTGCTTTTCTTCGGCCTCCTGAATCGGAGGGTTTGCCGGAAGGAAAGGCGTGTTGCGACGAGAACCTCGATCTCCTTGAAACGACCGAGTTTCCTGGACGTTCGGATGCCATGTGAGACCGGTCTTCGTCTTTTTCCCGCTTCCAACTCCAGCCGCCTGAGCCGCCTGAAGTCTGGTCTTCGTAATATCTGCCACTAGGCAGGCACCAGGCGACCCAGGGAGCACAGAGCTATCCAACGCCATGCGCATGCTGTGTCTGCCGGAGTCAGAGACATCTGAAAGCATGACCTTCGCATGGGCTGATCCCTCGGGTGGGCAAAATTCACCACGGTCCACCTTGCAGACTTCAAAGTGCAGCTCGGACTCCCCAGCTGCGGCTGAAATCTCCATAGTTTCCCCACGAGCCCAGACGATGCTTCCGTGGCTGATCGGACCCTCGGTGTCTGGTCCCCAGGTGCGCACTTCAACTTGCGGAGGCTCTGCCTCCCCGTGTCCGTGTCCTATCACTGTCTGTGGTTGCACCTGAGCTCCCACCAAACGGCGTGTTGCACGCAAGAATTGAACGACACCCGTGCATGCCAAGCGAGCTGCCGTGATGCAGAAGTCAGCTTTGATATCACGAGTGCTACTCCTGCCAGGCCAAGCACTCCGCAACTTGTGCAGACACACAGCTGTAAACAGGCACATAAGAACAACATGCCGTGGTTGACACACGCCTACAGCTACACCACACCTACAGTGGAGTGAACAGGCCTAGGCCTATGCCTGTGGACCGATCATTCGCCTCGGCTTCAGCCGAAGCATCCTAGACGGACGCCCCCTTCTGTGTGAACCTCTGGATGAACCCCTTCCCCCCCCTTCCTCCCCCCTGCTAGACGACCGCGCTTTTTGCAGAAGACTTGCGCAGCGGTCATCCGCTACACACTCCTCTCGCACCACGCTTGCATCAGGGGCTGATCTTTCTCCCTATACGCTCCGGGTTTAGGGCTTCGGGTTTAAATTTGGGGTTGAGAGTTTCGGGCTTAAGGCCTATGCGCCTTCGTAGACTTTCGGGCTGCTGCTTTCCGAAACAATGCACCTTCTTCAAGCACAGCCGGGCCGAGGCGGACGACGCGAAGCGTTTAAAATTACTATAGATATCCGGGATCGCCATCACGAAAATAACCCAGGGATTTCTCTGTGTGCCTCAGGGCCGGTCGCAGAGCTTTGGATGATTCCTGAAAAAAGCAAGGTGCACATGACACCTCTGAGAATGCAAAGTCCGGCCAACACCAGCATCAAAATTGCCATGTCCTTTCTGCTGCTCTTCCTCAACCTGCGAACCTCTCCGGTCTTGTTGTTCCATATTTCTGAACCCTGCACAAAGGCAACGCAATCAAAGCAATCGGCACAGCCAAAGAACGATAACAAGCGTCGCAGCATCTCTGATTTAACGTCCAACCTCCGTTTGCGAGCACCCACTGGATGGTGTCTCCTCCGCGAAACCAGCACCAAAACACTGAGTAGACTCTCGAGTTTAGGATGCTACTCGGGCCTCGAACAGCAAGCACTTGATGCAGATATGCATATTGCGAAGATACATATGCAACTACAGCCGTCTAGCAACATATAGCCTTGTAGTATAGTTGCTGCACAGTTGTACCTTTGGACTTAATGTCCTGGCACGCTCCGAGAGACGCTGACCGGGCGGTGTGTGGCTGTGGCTACGGGTGTTGGCGTCGGTGTGGGATATCGTGGGTGTGGGTGTGGGTGTGTCTGTCCGGTTGTGTGGACATGTCTACCTGTATCTACAGCGTACAGAGACACAGAGATACACATTTCTACTTCTGTACAATCCATACATGCCATACGTATATCCCGATGCACAGCTGCCATCTATGCTGTCTTCTGCGGCCGCATGCACCGAATTTCCTGGGCACTCTGCGTGTGGCTCGTCCTGCACAGTCCGAGTGGTTTGTAGGAGGGTAGGGAGGTGGTGCTGCTTGCAGTTTCAGAGCAGCCATGCCTTCACTAACTACGCTTGCGAATGCGCCCCGGCCTCTGCAGAGGTGCGATAGCGCCTTATCAGGAACGCAGCACGGTCCAGGTTGGGAGCTTGACAAATATTCAAAGGCCTTTACCTGGACCACCCGCGCTGCTCCTGAGACAAGGTGTCGAGCTTGTAATTGAGGTGCAGGGCTGCAACAGCAACAATTTATTTACTGCGCCGCTTCGTGCCGCACTGCCTTGTTGAGGCTTTGCGGCTGTTCTGGACCCCATCCTCGGCTCGAGCCAATGCTCACACCAATTGAATTGCTAGCTCATTAGGCTCATGACCCGCTCATGATACCCACAAATTCGATGTGGGCGCGGCAGAAGACCAACTTGTTGAACTAGCATTAGCGGGCGCCTACGCACTTAGTGCTTCCAAGCATCCTGCTCCGAGGAGGCCGAAGTTAAGACGTTTGCACAACCTGCTCAGTGCACTTATTGCCATAACAGCTCGCAGGCAGCACTTGCTGTTGTGAGATCTGGGCCGCGCGGAACAAAAGCAAGACATGTCCAACTGCTGCAGGCCTTCGTCGACAGACTGCCTCCAAAAGGGGCATGCCCTCTGAACCATTCTAAGTGTCACTAGCCTGCTTGGCCTGTGTGTATCACGCGTGCTGTGACGATGCGATGCAGGAATGTGTTCAGTGGCACCTTGCCAGGTTTGGAAGGCAAGAAGAGATTAGCGTCTACGAAGAGAACAAACAGCTGCTCCAGCATGTCACTCCTCGGTGATCCAAGCCGCGACTTGTGCGGGCGGAGGCGTGAGGATCACCGTTACTGGAGGACCTCTTCGACGAGATTGATTCCTTCCATGCACGGCAATTGCAACGAAATGACCTGCAGATACTACATGAGCCTCCTGGGAGATGCGTGCTGGCAGTGAGCGGCTGCGTACTCGAAACTTACCTGAACTCAAGGAAACGCAGTGTCCTAGTCAGGGAAGAAACTTTCTTACACGTGCTGTTTCTGTCCCCCACATGAGAAGCCCGAAACCTAGCTCCTTCGTGTCTCCAATCTAAGTTAGAATCAACAGCCAGTCCAACCGTCCTTTCAAGCAGCCTGTAAATTGATCTTCTTCCTCTCCTTCTGACAATTGGTCGAAGTTGATCTTGTATTCAACGTCGTTGTTGGCCGCGGCAAACGTCAAATTCCTTGCGATCGCTTGCCCTATCTATGCTGCAACAATACCTCAGCATATTCGATTCCAGACTGCCTAACTACCGCTCGACGGAACAGTACACTGTCCCACTCGTCACATGGGTCCTAACCTCATTCCACTGCATGTGGCGCTGGAGTTCAAAATCAGGCCAGAACTCAAGAACTCAGATGTGATGCGCTCTCGCTGGAAATGCGAGGCAATGGTGTGCCGAGCCTGCTGAAACCAGAGAACTGTGACGGCAAGCTCGGACAGCTGCTCGGGGCCCGTAATTGGCGATTGCTCAGGTACGGAATGGGACAGATGCCGTCGGGTTTGCCCATATGCTGCCATACACTGCCTGGAACGTCCCAAATGCAACCATCCATCCGGGCCTGTGTATAAACCAGGAGTCACCCGTATCTTGTTCAAGCGTATAAACAAACACAGAAACAGCCCATCTGCGACACGCACTCTGACCAGATTGATCGATTGATGTCGCTTGCTGCGCGCCATATACCGGTCTAGTTTTGCTCTGGGTTGGGTTGTTGGGTTTGTTATGACTAGTCCCCTTCATTGAATAAGTTGTTATTCCCTGTGCCTATTCTAAAAGACTTGATACTCTTCGATGCTGCAGGAAACCTCTGCGATACGTACAACTTTGACTACTCACGCGTTTTCTGACTTCGTCTTGTCAGGCTCTGGCTTCTGCAGCTTTCTGTTCAACAAGGTCCTCAAAAATTGCCAAGCCATGGACCGACCGGCCGTCGCTGAATGTAACCTCTGTGCTGGAGAAGGTGGCCGTGGCCGCAGTTTTCCTCTCACAACGCATTGCTTCTTTGTTGCCTGGCTGTGCCATCCATGGTGCGAGCTTTTGGTAAAATCTGGTAAAATGGGCATTTCAGGCATTTCGTCGGAGACGCGAAGAACCAAGTGCGTGGCGTGAACGCTTCGTTTTGGCTTGGGGTGGTTCTGAATTTTGGCATAGACGACGAAACTGTTGCTTTGACGCATGGCACAGCCTTCCCATCAAATCAAGCTCGCAGCAATCTACTGCGAACTGTGGCTCGTACATGCCCGTACTTATTCATCATGCCTCCGCCCCCCCCGCCTGTATCAACTAAGAAATGACGGGCCCAGCCTGAAGTTTCGACATCGAACGACCCCCTACGTTCACAGCTCTTATCCGGGCTTGAGCCTGTCTTTGGGCAGCTCAAAGCATTGCGGACTACAATCGCATGCAAGCTCGCGGGCCCATCCGCAACGTCTCGTGTCATACGGAAAAGGACCTAGCCGATGTTCTCACCAATCTGATTCTGCAATGTAAAACACAACAAGACAAGGCGGACCCTGGACATGAGCGCTTTGCGGAAAGCGTCGTGATGAGGGCCTGACAGTACAGGTTTTCTCGTCCAGCTGAGCACCACCAGCAAACAGAGCAACAAAACTTCGGGCACGTATGCATATGCCAAACACAATAAGTACTCTGTGTTACTCAACCACTCTCGTGACATAAGAGGAAGAATCATGCTTAGCACAGGCACAAAACGTTTGTGGGTTTTCTTCTTGGCCCGGGACCATGAGCTCTTCTTTGAAAGGCCCCGACTGCCGCTGGGCCTCAACAAGTTGGTCACTGCCCCCTGGCTCCAAGTCTTTTCATTCCGGCTCCAGCTTAGCTCTGAACATTCATGGCATTGAGAAACATCTGCGTTTCCTGACGGGTTCTCCCATTCCGCCACACCACAGGATGGATCCCGCCTGGCCTCCAAGGCTTCTTGTACCTCTGTGACTTTGCTACCGACCAAGACGCAGGGGACCTCACGCCTGCAGTAGGAACCGAAGCTCACGATGAGCCTTTCATGGGGACATCTTGGGCTCCCGACGACTTCCATGTGGAGAACTCGAAAGACATGGTATTCCACTGAGCCTGACCATTGAGCTGAGAAGCATTGTGCTTCACAAAACATTCGGCACCCGTGCAGATCAGGCACAGAAACACCAGCCGACCATCGAGCGCAAGCAAATCTGGAGGACGACGGCAGACTCTGAGGCTACGGCCGTGATATCTGCGAGCTTTTCCTCGATGATTTGCTGCTTGTCTGCCGACTCAGTTATGTCTTGGATATCGTCCTCTGGGACATGGACATCCGAATGCAACATGAGCTGAGCACGCGCAGCAAAAAAAAATGCAAGAAAGCAGTCCTTGAAATCGTTGAGCTTCGCATCAATAAGAGACTGAAGCTTGAAGTCTTCCCGTTCAACCTGAGGCGTGAGCCATGCGTTACCTGCTTTACTACAGCCAGGGCCAGGGTCGATCAAGGAAGCGCCTGCAAGTCTTTCCCAGTGATGTCGTTCACCTTCCAATGTGTGGGCTGTGCAAGTCAGAACCATGCAGAATGCAAGCACCGCATGTCTCTTGGTTCCGCATGCTGCACAAATGCCCACATGAAACGTCGAGCATCTTCGCAGGCAACAGACAGTCCGAAGCAAGCACCAAGGGCTCACGGCTCGCTAAGCCACTAAGCAGGAGATCGTTCTCTCTGCCGAGAACCGGCAAGTCCAAATCCGAAGTCTTCTGTTCCTCCTCGCAGCGTCCCTCAGCCAAACTTTCGAGACGGCAAGTTTTGATGAGTGGTGCGTTGCGGGCACAACAGCCACGCGTTTTGTTGCATTCTCCTCGTCGCGTCAGCCTTCTGGAAGAGTTTGCTGTTGACGCGACCTGAACCTCTGGCTTCGCGCTCTTCCGGTCGCCCTTTCCATCTCACCGTATGCACGATCCAAACTAATACCTAACTTGCAGAGGCAGGGGCGGCCATGAAGCTGAAAAGGGGAAGAGGAAGAGGAGCTCTTGCTTACCCAGACTGAGCTTGGCAGCTTCGTTCTGTCCATTTTGGATGCGTTTTGGCTCAGAGGCCGCTAATGAGCTCTGGCTGGCAGTGCTGGCAATGGCAGATTTGCAGCCAGGAGGGGTTCTTTGAGGCTTTCGGGTGCCGCCGCAGCTGCAAGCGGCTTTGGCGACTGGGGTGCAGTCTGCCTTCGCCGTGCTCAGAACAAAGGCTATGCTCTGAAATTGCTCGTAACAGCTACTAGTAGATCAATCCAGTAGGTGCGGCAAAGCACGGAAGCCAGGCCGAGCACTCAAGAATTCTTGGAAAGCACTCGCCTGCTGCCAGTGGCGCTGCTGGATGCTTTTCTTCGACAGCTCCATCAGCAAAGGGAGCACCTTGCGTCTCTGTGCCAAACCTAAGCCCATGAAGCTCTCCTGGCAGATTGCTAGCCAATGGCCTGCTGAAAGTCTTCTATCTCGTGCTTCAGCTCGTGGTACGCCGGCCTGATGGTCAACCGCACCAAACTTGCAGCGCCCGCACAGCAGCACAGCGGGATGGCGCAGATCACTTGGCCAGTTGACAAAGGGTCTCACCACTCTCGAAGCTGTCCAGGCATCTTTTTGCATCGGAACCTTTCAAAGCCGTCAAACTGCAGTGCTCTGTGAGTATCCTTTTCGGCGTCACATTTAACCTCACCATACCTTCCATAATCCTGCGCTTTATGTCCGAAGTCATGCCCCATGCCCTCGTATGCTCAACTACCAGCACTCGCCTCACCTACACATACCTCGGGTGCACCATAACCCTCCAGACTTGCACGCAAGAAATCTCTCCGATGTTGAAGTTGCGGTGCTTCCAACTGAGCAAGCCGCGCGAACTGGTCAGCCTGTGGCCAGCATGTCTTTATTCAGTGAAGCTTCATCGCATGACGGCTTGTTCTTCGGGCAGCCTCTTTCTTCATGTTCTCCATCTCGCCCGGTACCTAAGAAAGTGATGCAGCTATGCCGCGCTTGGAACTAATCAGGAGGCTTTCTGATACTTGCACAACGTACGAACATGCAAGCCCGCAGGCAGTGCATCCGATTCCATTTGCGCTGTGCCGCTGACATCTGATTCCAACTAGCAGAAGTGTCTTTTCGCACAGAATTCTGGGCCATGCAAAGCTGGGAAGATGCTAGAAGAGTCCGGCTGCGAAAACTCAGAGGTTGACCCTGGAGTGCTTGACTTGACTTGGGTCCTCCGGGTGTATCCTCGTCACACATCCGCGGTCCCGTGAGCTCTTCGTGGCTTTTGAGATGCTCTGGCCTGGCTCTGACATCGACACCCAAGCGCAAACAGGGCCCAGTAGCAGTCACAAAAAATTCGCACGTTGCCACTATCTCCCACTACAGACCACAGCTACGAAAATTTCAGAATTTCTCTGGATCTGCCTCACTACCAGCTGGATCTGCTACCTGTGCCCTGGTGACCATGCACGATTATGGAAATCCTGTGGAAAACTTTTTACAGTACTGGGCTGCAGCTTCTGCAGCAGTCTCACGCAGTGCGACGAGTTTGTTTGCCAATTCCTGGAGCTGTGTTCCCTGACTTGTCTTCGCGAGCCAGTCAGCCGGAATCACGGACTCTGTGCCCATGGAGCCATGGCAGGCACCGGCAAGGGTTGCTCTGCTCACGGTACAACCTCCAGTGGCAATGCTTGCTTCCACAGCATGAGTGTAGCCTTCCTCTTTCGCACAGTGCAATGGTAAAATCAGCGCTTGAGGCAGGGATCAGGAAATGCCAGCAAACGGAAATGGGTGAGCCTCGGGCTTCAGCTTCAATCCGACCTCCGCATGCGACAGATCAGCAAACTCACCGATCGCCCGGCCAAGTGCCACGGCCACCTCATTATCAAGAGCTGTTCTGAAAGTTCGATCCGGATTTGTAAGGTCCTCCTGAGCCGCAGAAACGGCTTCTTTTACTGTTGCAGTGCCGAGAACCAACTTCTCGAGAACACGTGCGAAGCCACAAGCAAAGGCTGCAGCCTTGTCGGTGTTCTGCACAACGCGGACTGCTGCATCAACACTGGCGAGTAACGAGGGCTGCCCTGCCAGCAAAGCGACGAGCGGAGCAACCTTGCAACAGCCATCGACCTCAGGGAGGAGATACCGTGAGCGGGGCTGCAAAACCTAGAGGCTTGGCGAAGAAGTCGTAGGGGTTTGTCGGTTGTCGCTCTGGGGGTTATGCATGGCGTCCCCAAGCCAACGTTGGTAGTGCTCTAAGGGGGAGGTGTCGCTTTCCCACGAAAACAGGAAACGGTCGCCCATGGTCCCAGCCATGTTTCAAGAAGTGAACGTGTGTTTTGAAAGGTGAAATCCCTGTCGGGCCATGCTTGCTAGCCGAACGGCGGGTTCAGTTGTCTCTCAACTCACACGAAACGAAAAGAAACGACGTACACGATGGAAAGCGGAAGAACTGTTCGTTGAGCATAGACCATAGACCAAAGCGATATGAACCTCGCGCGTGGAGTGTGAACAAGATGACAAGCTCGGAAGAAGGACCTGCTCATCGGCGGCGCCGCACTTCGGGAACTTCTTCTTCTCACTGACGTACTTTTTGAGGAAGCCCTTGACGGAGCCGTGTCGCCATGGCCCCGGTAGGGGCATGCTCCACTGTCTCTCCGCTTCAATCACGTTGCCATCTGCATCTGTTGGGTTCTGTTTGAGCTCTGGCCAATTCTTCGGATCCACAGCCTCCACCTCATAGGCGCTGGCTTTGCCAAATTTGCCTTCGAGGCGAGAGGAGTAGTCCTCTGCGTTGAATTTCCCATCGCAGGCAACCAGGGACTCCAGGAGCGCCATGGTCTGTTCTCCATAGCAACTGAAGCCACCGGGTGGGGGTGTGTAGAAAACATTGCCTGCGGGATCGCAGAAGGCCGGACCGCGCTTTGCGGCTTTGAGGTGCTCTGCAAGCTTGGTGGGGTCATAACACCAATGGCATGGGACCGCGGCTGCATCTGCAACCAAGCATCCAATCACGGCCCCCCTGGCCCTGGCAGCGAGGCCAGCCTGCTCCATAGCCAAAGTCTCAAAGTCGACGCCGCTCCGCTCGACAAAGTCGAACCCAAAACAGCTGAGCGACAGGAAAAGGAATCATGCCTCTTCGGTAAGCCTCGAAAGAAAATTGAGTTTCAAAGTTTTAGAAACTTCCCAACTGCAGATGATGCTTTCCGCCGCATGAGAGGTTGGTGACACTAGTTTGCGAAAAGTAGGACAGTACCTCGTACATCTCGCTACTCGGATGTTGTAGGAGGTCGCTGTTAGCGAAAGCTAAAGAGCACTACGACCAAAACCATTCAAACATGACCAGCAGCAAAGCAAGGCTAGGCGGTCAAACAAGTCGACACTGACAAAGCGGCCTCAACCCACAGATAGTCCTTCCAGCGGCCAATGGTCTCCAGAACCTTTAGCTTCAGCAGTTCCCAGCTCCCATCTACGCAGCATGGCCTTCAACCAGCACGGCTCAGGATGCAGCTGCCGTGTACAAGTCGTACAGCTGGCTCAAGTAATCGAGCTCCTGACAAACCACACCAGGTGAGCCACAACGATGCGGTCCTCTGTAACTGCATGCAACTCCCGGACCAAACGGTACCGACATCGATGTGACAAATGGGCGGGCGCAAGACACAAGCCACCCAAAAAACATCAAAAAACAATGCAAAGTTTAACGATTGGAAGCCACCCACGCTGGACAATCTGTGATTCCTTGATACTGCACGGGTGGATTGCTTGGAATGCCTTTCGATGTCTAAGGTGCCTCCGCGTAACATGCCCGCATCGTGCGTTGTCTTGCGCGTGTCGTCCTTCTCTGTCTGGTCAAGCTGGGGATATGTTTGATGAGGAAGGCCAAAGAGATCCTCACCTCAGTTTGTCGACAAGGCAGCAGTCCAACCTTGTCGCCCATCGGGGAAGATGCCGAGTGCGAAAATCTGGCGTTTTCGACCATGCACCTGCATGGAATCAGCAAGCCGTCCATGATGCGGCATGTTGCATCTAAAGATCTAAACTCCCCCTGTGCCTCGTACTCTTCCTTGCAGCGCCTTGAAGCCGAGGCTTTTAAGATACAAGTCCACGAGCATATCAGGTTTGGGCTTGGAGCTCAATTCTTAGCTGAGTTTCCGACTTGAGCCGCTCCACAGCCTGTCGACACGACATCTTTTCTTGAACTTGAAGCTAATGGCAGTCTCTGAGCTGGCCTGGCCAGGCCGAATTCCCTTGACCATGGGGCCGCGCCTTGACTCAGACCGTGCTTGCTAGTTAGAATGGTGTGAGGAAGGGGAACTTAGCACTGAGCTCTTCATAGTCCCTGCGAAATTTTTCCACATCTCGTCTGAAGGCATGAACCGTCCTGAGCACACATTGCCGAGACAGAACATGTCAAAGCTGCTCATCGTCTCATCGCAGAAGAGTGCCCTGCTTGATGAGGTTGCGTTTAAACCTCGGCAGAGGCAATGCTTCTATGCCATGCGGGCAGCTCGATCACGAATGATCAAGGCAGTCTCCGCGTGACTTTAGCACGGAATGTTACACAGTGTGATTCAGCGGGTCACATAAGATCCTCCGCTCTCTTTTTGCTACGTGCCTGCATTGGGAGAGGTCGGTCCTCCATGCAGCAAGCCGTATAAATCATCGTTGCCCGTATTGTACGGCAGCGCCTTGGTTTCGAGGGTGGCTTCAGCAAAAAGTAGTGCAGTACCACCTCGCCTCGGGCATACCAAGACTCGGCTTTCGGCATTAGCGCCGCACGTTAATAGTTGCAGAAGCCAGCCACACCGGGCCGGCAAGGGAGGTGCGGCTTGCTCAAAATGCAGTTAAGCTTCAGTCATCGCCTCCAACTCACTGAGCTTTTGAGACAAGACCTCGATTCCGCAACGCCCAAAACAGCAGCTTCGTCTTCTGAGCCTGTCCATAGGTGCCATAGCCATAACCCACTGGCATACCCGGCTAACGTGCGACGGAGTTTCAGCGACCTCTGCTTGGAGGCCAGCGGCTTCAATCCTCAGATGCGGGGTAGGCCAAAAGCCTCAATGAGTAGCGACAACGCAGCCAAGTGCAGCAAAGCTTCTCTGACTCCTCTTGCCGCTGGCGCAGTGTCTCACTCTCCGGGCTTCGGCTCAGCTGGTCGGTAAGATGCTGGAAGTTCTGCCTGCACAGGAGCGACGATTCTGCAGACCGCGAGTTCAGAGAATGAGACTCCATGCCCTCGACATGCTCCACTCATCCCCAATCGCCCATCATAGGCTGCCAAAGGGACAGGCTAGCATCCAGCAAGAGCCGCTTCTCCTCCAGCACGCTCTGCAACAGCTCCTGCATCGATGCACAAAATGATGCAACAAAACACGGCATCTAAGGCGATCAAGCGGCAGCGCCACTCCTGGTTCATCACTTCCCTGCCTTCGTCCAGTCCGGAAACAGCCTGAACAAGCAAGTTTGCTGCAAGCGTCCCGTGAGTTAAAAGCTGTTCTGTCTTTGTGAAGCCTGGCTGGATCAAGGCTACACTTATTGCAAAGATAGGCTGGTATCAGGCGCAGGAGGGCAGGCTGTCAACGTCACCGACTACTTATCAACAACCCGGCACATCGCTTCATTGAATTGCAAAACAAGCCAGCACGGTTGTTCGGACTCGAATTTTTCAACATCGGAACGCAATGTGGAGGGCGAGGAGAATGAAAAGTTTCGAGAAAGAAACTTTGAAGGAAGGCTCGAGTCTGACAACACCGTCGAGGAGTGGAGGACATGGGTCAACCTGGCGCCTCCAGGGCACGGAATGGAAACCTTGAGAGGTTGGAGTTTGAGAAGCGTGCTATTGGTGTCGTTCCTTCATGTTGCTGCTACCACTGAGGCCGCATTTTGGATTCTGGGCTGCGACTTTAGACGTCGAAGAGACTTCTCGCATGCTTGATATGACAAGCAAACGCTCTGATTGTAGGCACTCTGTTACGTCATCGCTTCAGCAACTGGAATCGCGATTTGGTTGCGACCGATCTTGATTGCAAGGTTTCAAGCCTTACGGCTTCTGCACGGTCGTTTTGGATGCAGTGTTTAGGCACTTTCGCCCGGTAGTCCTAAAGGCCCTATAGACGGAGGCCTGGAGCAGTAAGTGAGAGGACTTGTTACCCTGCGAATCAGTCGTCAGTCGTCGGATCAACGATACATGCCCATTTGCGCATCTCAGCTTGTTGCACGTGTGATTGGTTGTTGTAAGTGTGATCGGGCGTGCTTTTGCGTTTGAACCGGCATAGCCATGCCATATGCCTTCATTCACCCGCGGCCCCAGGACACCTCGTTGACATTAGTATTTGACGGTTTGACTGCAAAGGTGAAAGAACCTGCAAGCTTGAGAATTTGAAAGCCTGACAGATTCAGAGATTGAAAGATGGATAGGCTTGGAGCTTGAGAGTTCGGATTCTTTCAAGTTCCAGGTTTTGGACTGCAAATTTCAGCTCGAGATCGTCCAATTTGTGAAATGTATTGTTGTTTTGCTTGAGTATACCGTCTCGGGATTTTTCCACTCCCGGATGCAGGTTTAGGCCTGAACTACGGTAGTAAGCTTAGAAATAGATGGGGCATATCCAAGAAGTAAGCTAACTCGCGGATAGCATACTGAGGCAACCTGCATCTGCACATTGTTGCTCCGCTTTCGTGTTCCCCAATTGCCTACGCACCCACATACGGTGGTATATTGGCCTAGGAATCCTACAGGCCTGAGTACATGCCATGTTGTCACACGGACGAACACGGCTACGGCTTCGGGGAGTATCGGCCTAGTCTCGACCTCAGTGGCGAGCCCCCGAACGGAATACAGAGAGAACATGAGAGAACCGTTCAATCTTCAAACCTTCAAACTTGCGAACCTTCAACAACTGCCAACCTCTCAAACTTCAAACAATCAATCTCTCAAACCTGCATCCTTCGTACCCTTTCTGTAAACTATTAAACTTTGAGCCCCGACAGAACTTGATCGAACTCGGCCGCGGCCAAAGTTTGAGATTCACTTCGTTTCAACCCCTTTCGAGTTTGAAAGGTTCGACGTTGCATCCCCGCTGAGTTGCACGTACCAACCTGCCGACACCGTCGAATTGGAACTTTGAAGCTTCAACACCGTATAACACCGTCAAACTCGCGGACATTCTCGGACCCTCGAGCTCGAACACGCCACTCAAACAGGCATGAGCGAGCGAGCCACCACCAGTGGTGAAAACCCTCACATCTGATAGCTTCTTCGGCCTTGTACGGCACCACGGCGCGCTGCGAGAGCGGATCCTGCGCAGCGGTGCCAATCGCTGCAATGGATGCTTGTCGAAGCGCGTGAATGTGCCCATGACTCGAAGAAGCAATCGCAGTCCTGAAAGCCCGGATCTGAGCCAAAGGCATCTTCGTGATACCAATGTCGCGACTCCAGGTCTGGAGGCAATGGCCAGCTGGAAAATGCCTGATATACCGATTTGCCCGCAAGACATCTGCGACAAAACATCGCAAGAGTTGTGAAATTATTCGTCCAGCTGCATCCAGACGTTCTGGCAGTGCCAGGTCATGGCCTGCCCCAACAGCAGAAGCCTGCTCCTCGGATTGTGATGCTGGGCATGTATGTAACCACATCTACTATGGAATCTATGGTTCAGCCGTGAAGCGACGCCATGCAGTTTAGTGAGATCACAACATTCTAGGCCGCATTGAACTTTTCAGTCCCAACCAACCGTCACCACCCGGCGACCCTGGCTGAACTGGCAAGCGGTCGTGCAGACCGAGTGACCCACCTAAAGAGGGCTTGGAAAGACTACTCGTCCGAACAACCAGCACGATCACCGAACATGGATGGATACTGACAATCACGGAGTGCAATCCTCTGAATTTTCAGTTGTGTCAAGCCCACTCTGTGGGTTTCTAAATCGACGGATGTCGGGCATCAGCCGGGCCACTGAAGTCAAAGAGCTCTGTCCGGCTCCATCAGCATGACCACCGAAGTACCCCAGAGGCAAGTCCATAGCAGACATACCATCCTGGTCATGAGAATGGTGCCGCGGTGCACTCCACATTACGATGTGGCTCCCCTTGAACACCACATGCAGCACATCGGGTCTAGTTCTGGTTTACGCAGATCCTGGCTTGGCTAGTTCCCATCAGTCCTTGAAGAGCGGAACGGTGACCTTTCTTTTCCCAGGCCTCTTGCGGATGTTGTGGCAAGGGCAAGAATCACATCTGGTCTCAGCGGCGCCATCTGACGCATCTGCGCTGTAATATGACAATGCCAAGCGACTCGTTAATGGTCATTGTCAGCAGGCTGCTCCCAGCATTGGACCACATGCCCGGACCAAATGAGCCTCAGCAAAGCGCACGCAGAGGTTTGCCCAAAGGTGCCGAAGCACCCAAAGGAAGCGAGAGCAATGCGAGCAGCCGTGCCCGTCCGACAGCGCCAATGGCATGTTTGGCGCAGGCGTTGGGCGCGATACTGCACATGGGTTCCTGATGCCACAAAATCAGATCAAAAATACACTTCAAGAACACGCATGGTCGACTATCTCAGGCACTTATTATAACTGCCACCCATCTTTCGTGAAGTCAGGGTTGCTGAATGCTGCTGGCCCAGTGGCGGAAGGGTGAGCGACACGGCATCGGCAGTTGCGGGTCCAACTTCGCCGGCAGCGTTGATGGCAGCAACTCTGCACAGGTATCCTCGCCACGCTACAATGTTGCCAACGTCGACACGAACAAAGAAACAGCACCCAGCATTCCAAACCCTGTAGTCCCAGTAACCCCTCAGCCTCCCAAAACCACCGCCAAGTCCAAAAAATGTACCGAGCACGGTGGAGCACCATTTCGGGCAGCAGTCACGAACGAGGACTGTGGTGGGAGAACGAACTTACGCGAGGTCTGGGCTCGAGTGGGACTCTCGAAAGGGTGGACTGCACCACTGGAAAAACGGAAAGTCCTCTTTCCTAGCATGCGGACCTGATGGTGTGTTGTGCGTTACCTGTTTGGAGTTTAAACGCTGTTACAGAGATGCCCATCCTGAGCTGAGCTAAGCGCAGTAACTAGTGAGTCATGCCATTCTAGGTGCTAAAACAGCCCAGCCAGAAATGATCGAACATGATGCTGAACGCCATCAAGCATCGGCCAATTCGCTGGTCAAATTCCTCTGTGTGAATCTCTGCCCGCTGCACGCTGTCCGGGATATGCTTCACATGTCCAATTTCAAGCCACTCCTGCGGATCTGCATCGGTAACAGAGAAGGGCCTAACCCAAAGACGGTAGGCAACTAAGTTGGCACCGCCATCGTACATGGGGGGATCCCACTCCACTGCCAGAACAGGTCCGCTGCAGCCAGCCAAGCGCGGCTGGCCGCAACCAGCAGGCGCACAGGGGCCCGTTTGCACTTCCAGCTCTTCAGGCTCGCCCAGGCCCACTTCGTTCACTGCACAGACGCGGAAGATGTAGAGGCTGTCCGGCTTCAAACCGTTGGCTAAAAACACGTTTTCCCTTCCTTCACGGGCTTCGACGTCTCCGGCGTGCAGCCAAGACGAGCCGCCTCCTGACGGCCGCTTTCCCCGCCCCAGGAGTCGAGAGTCCACGCGGTAGCCCTTCAGTGGGACGGCTTTGTCTTCGTTGGCCGGAGGCAGCCAGGCCAGCTTCACGTCATTCGCCATGACATCCACGTGTAAATCCTGAACCGGAGAAGGAACTCGCGCGAAGGAAAACTCGCAGGTGACGTAGGCTACGTCGTTGCCGGCGGCATCAATCATCGGCCACGTGCAGGCTCGTCGGTGATACTTGCTGTCGTTAATAGGTACAAATGCGCGTGCAAAGAGTTCCGGCTGAGATGGCCTCCCGAAGAGGCTGCTCGTGCACAGCGACCAGGCATCTATTCGGAAGTAGACTGGACCTCCGGCAGCCGGCCCAGGCCCAGCTTCGCTGAGTCGAACAGTGACACGCGCTTTGAACCTGCATTCCGTGCTCGAAGCACGGCCCGAGCCCGAAAGGCCCGAAAGGCCCGAAGCACTTCGCTCCATGGCCTCAACGGCCGAGGCAATGCGTTGCTTCAGCTGTGCCTCCTCTGGCGGCACCGCCAAGGGCGGGCCGGCTTGCCTCGGTGAAGCGTAGCACATCGTAGCAGGAAACTGGAGAACTAGAACCTTGAAACATCTTTAAACTTCTCTTCCCATAATTTATACAATTGCAGAAAGCTGAGGAAAGTGCACGAGACTGGTGCTGAAGGGGCCCGGTCGATCAGGAGGATCGCTCCGGGCATCCTCGCCCACGTGAAGGCTGAGCTGGTACTGGGCTGGGCTCTGCATCCAACTTCCTGCTGGGAGTCGCGACAAGTACAGGAACTTCACGACCAAAAGCTCTGGCTCAGGCAGAGGTCGTCTTGAAGCAGACATGCCGTTGGGCTTGGGGAGGCTTTGTGCATCGCTTCTGCGACTGTATCCACCCGATCGGCATGCTAGGGCTGTACATGCACTTGCGCTGGCAGCGCTGTGTCCACCGTCGGGTGCACGTGCATCCCCGGCTGCTTGACTCTGACTGCCTTGTTGCGGCCGTCGAAGCACAGATTTTGGCGCAGGCCCTTGGATCTGGAGCGACAAGGGGTTCTCCCCGGACTCCCGGGTTTGTAGTTCATGTCTCGGAACTTCGTCGGCAAAGCGTAATGTACGTGCAGCTGCCTTGCTACTTGTAGCGCAAGCTGCACAGGGTGCAGAGGTCTCTCCGACCCTTGCAACCAGCCTCCTCGCCTCCAAGGCCTGCGGCATCTGCACGGATTGTGCAGCGTGCAGAGCCTGCGGCGGCGGGTGACACGAAGTGTTGGCGTTGCGAAGAAAAGGTCTCGGCGCGCCCGGCAGGACATGGACTGGTGCTTTGGCGACGGGCGCTTGCTGTACAGGCAGCTCATGCTGCTGGAAGCTCACTACTCGCGGAGCCCTGCCCACGCCGGGAAACGACATTGCTATGTGTGAAACAGCATCGCTGCTTCAAGGTGGATGCTTGATGTTCGAGCTTATAACATTTCAGCTGCGGCACAAAAAGCAAGTCTTGAAAGGCAAGAAATAGATATATATATATATATAAGGTTTAGCTGTGTGTCTGCACTGCAGCCGTCCGCAGTGTGCGTCTCAAAAGTACCCGTGCGCGCCCCGAAGCTCCCGTCTTCTGCTTCCTCCAGGCTCAACCGGACTTCTCATCCGGCATCGCAGCTTGGCCAGATTGCAGGACAGGCCTACTGTATGACATCCTGCGACAATGGGCACCGCAGGCCCAGGCCACGAAACCTTTTCTAGGCCGACAAGCCGATTGGGCTCCTCGCTTCGTCTGTGGTGCGTTCTTCGGACCGCCCAACATTTATCCAGCAATTCTTTTGCAGAAGCTTTACGCAGGACCTCTAAACGATTTATCGCTACATCGCTAAGTGTTGGCACATCTCGCAACATCACCGCAACTTTGACGCTCTCCAGCATGCTTGCAACCTGCTTCTACTCCACATAAGCTGGTTTTAGCGTTCGCTTCAGACGTGTCCAATTCTGGGTTTTGTGGTGAAGCCTTGCCAGCCTCACGAGGCACACGTTGGCGCAAGTGATGTCGATGTTGACACTGCGAGCATAATAATTACAACATGCATGCACTACACTCTTGAGGACGCCAATGGTCTTTGTCTGCGGGATGCGTCAAGCAGAAAGTCCCTCCCGGAAAAGCCAAAACTCAGCGCCACACTGAACCTGCTTGACGGTCAGCTCCTGCAGCCGAAACAAAGGCCGTGAGTGCACTGGCTTACCAAACTCATCCGGTCACGTGACAGTGAACGCAACCGTCTGTCCAAATGTCGCGTCTCGCTCTCTGCCAGGAGCTTCGTCCAGCCTGTGCAGGATGCTGGCGTCGGGCTCGTGGGCAAGACGCTACTTTTGCTGGCATTATGGCTCTGCGCGCTTTTCTTCGGCTTCTGGTGCGCGAGTCTGTTGTGGAGAAGAAGAATCTATTGGCGACGAAGTGCGAGATGTTCAAAGGAACTGCTTTCTTCGGCGCACAAGATGCTCCTAAGCATCGCTCTCGCCATAGTCATAGACGGCATCAGAACCCGGGATGAAGTCCAAGGTCACCGTGGCTTCCACAGGCGAGTAGGGAGGCAAAGCCGGCCGACCTGGGGCGGATGGAAGACCTTTGTCCCCGAAAGCCAAATTTCCGGGAATCCGCATCTTTCGAACGCCTCCTGTCTTCATGCCGCGGATGCCCTCATCCATGCCGGGGAGCAACTGTCCTACTCCAAACCTGAAATCCCTTGCTTTGCCTTTCGTGTCTTCGACAATGATTTCCCTTTCACGAATGAACGCCTTGATTTGGTACTGTATACCAATCTGGTCACCAATCTGGGGCGATGCCCCAGTGCCAGTCTTTACATCTTCCCACTCCACTCCTCCTGTGTGAACGTCATCGTCATCACCTGCAGGAGTAGTCTTCCAGGCCGTCGTCACTCCTGACTCCGCATGGCTTGGACCTGCGAAGCCTCCCATGGCCAGAACTGGCAAGAAGCGAAGAGCCTCAGCCCGAGAAATGTCGCCATCCTTCGGTACCAGGAAGGCCTGCCGAAACAAGCACGAAGGCTGAGCATGCTGAAACGGTCGACAACTGCAGTTTGAAGATTGAGGGTGGTGAGGGGTCGTCTTCGCAAATCGTGCTTCTGGAGAGTTAGCAGCTTCATAGCTAGTTAGCGTCTTTTAAAACGAAAATTTCTGGACCACATTGTGGTTGAACAGGAATTCGTTGGAAGCTGATAGTTGCCAAGGTCCTGCATTATACCAGCTCGAGACTTATAGCCTATAGCACACATGTTCGGCATCCTTCGAAGTATCCCGGCTCCGTAGCTATGCTGGAGGACACCGGCTGGTGCTCCGTAAAGGAACCCAAACTCTGGTCTCTTTGTCATCCAATCTCGGTGGAAGTGTTTGATGAATATTGGACTCTGGACCAGGATCCGACGACAGCAGGCCATTGTGCGAAGAGCAATGTCTGCGAGTCTCAATCTGGCCACTGAAGTCGATATGGTGTCAGGCGGTAACTCATACCATCAAGTTCCGATGATTTCGAAAGCTTAAAAATCTTAAAACTACGTTTCAGGGGCTGATTCTGGAAGTTTCTCTTGTTTACGCCTCTTCGTTTCAAGGCGAGGAAGAAAGCATTCACAAGCTCGGTATAGAGCGTCATACGCGGAGTATGAAACCATGAAATTGTCACGTGTTGTTGTTGCCCTCCCAGGCCTTGTGAAGAGACACTGCCAAAAGCACAAGTAGTGCACAGCGCCCTGGTCGTCGGGCTGGAAGCATGCTTTCAAAGGCTGGCCGAGGAAAGTGGCAAGATTCGATGCCCCTGTGATGCTTTTGGGCCAAGAGCCAACGACGCAACACACAAAAGCCAAGCTCCGAAAACACTGCAGCTGGACCTTCGAAACCCTAAGCAAAGGGGCGACATGTCAGGTTGCCTCAGCTTCATGGTCTCATGCTAAGCAAGCGGCTTGATTGCAGCATGCTGCGCGCGTCCTGCTCCTGCAGGGGACAACGAACGGAATCCAAAAGCTCAGCCAGCCACTTTATGTAGCCGTGCCTCTTTGTCAAGAATGTTTGGAAGATACGAATCCAGCATGGCCTCCAAAGCAAAGCAGCGACACGTGTGGGTCGTGTGGCAAACACGACAGCCAGGGCCAACGCATACATCTGGGCCACCGGTTCGAGCTCCTTGTCGAGTATCGAAAACATGGACGAATCTCCAAAAGCCCCGTTCAGCCGGCACCATGGACCTAGATAGATATACAAAGGGGATGCAGTCACATACATGCAGAGAATTGTGCACACATACACTATCCACGTGCATGCATGCCTGCAGGCATGCATACTTGCACACACATGCACTTTTTGTCACTCGTGCTCGACAAGTCAAACGAGGTTTAGGGTCGCCAGCAACATTCCAGTATTTTCTACTTCTCCAACTCGTACACCACATCGGTGCGAAGCACGTATTTCACGCCTTCCTCAACGCCCGCACCCTCGTGGGTCATGCACTCGTCTCCATGACCATGGAAAAGGCAGACACCACGCGTGGGTGGAAAAGCGAGTGCAGGGCGCTTGCCGTCATGATCCTTCCAGAAAACCGTCTCACCGCCACGAACCTGCAGGTCCTTTGGATCGCGATCGCCGCCATTCAGATATACTAACACAGTGAAATGCGTGCGGCCGCCCATCTCAGGCTCGTCGCGACTACCGTCCACGTGCTGGCCGAACCTTTGACCCTTGACGTAGCGATAAACCCGAATACGTGGAGAACAGCCAAGAGCAGCCCGCGCTGGTTTGCCCACGAAATCCGGAACAAAGGCCTTGATCCGAAGCCATATAAGGTAAGCGATATCCGGGCTGCTGAACTCGATGCGGCCGTTGTCTCGATGCGCGTATACCGAGTTGGCCTTCTGCTTAGCCTCCTCAAAGCCCTTTCTCTCACCCCAGCTGATCCAGGCGAAGCATTCCTCCTCTGTGAGGAAGTTGTCAATGGCACTGATTCTCACGGGGTGGCTCAAGAGCAGCAGGTGCTGCAGGTTGACCTTTCGTGGCAATCCATTGGCCAGGGAGGCAAGGTTCGAGTCTTCGGCCTCCTCGGCCTCGATATCAACTGGCGGAATGACAACTGGGACAGTGAGCTGAACTGTCCTGTCTGGTTCGGGTAAGCGAAAAGCAGCCGTCGTGGCGGCAGGCACAGCTTTGTCTCGTTTCTTGGCGCCCATGGCGGAGGCCGGAGGCCGGCTCAGCGCTAACTTCCGAATCGGTTTGTTGCGGGCTAGGGCCTAGCATGGCCTAGCGGCCTAGTCCCACCGATTCTCACTTGTAACTCGCAACATGCCCTTACCCAATCCCACTCGTGCCTACACATGCATGTCGGCACAAAATGTAGCTCATCGTGACAAGGCTCACTGATTGCATGCCCACAACAACGCCCTTGCGTGTTCAAACTCGCTGGACTTCCTGAACGGTGGTGATCCAAATTGGAACTGTGTGGCAACGGCTACCATGTCCTGCAGGACTGCATCACATCATACGCTCTGTCGCCATGCCCTGCTAGTGGTACACATGTGCCGTGGAGTGCAAAACAATCAACGCAACCACTCTTCGGCTCTCTGCTATTACTTGCAAGACAAAACATGCACAGCATGCAAGCGCAGGGGCAGGCGTTGACGACGACAAATTATGCTGGCAAGTCGCTAATTCGATTTCGCCTTGTTTTTCCCTCACCTGCAGCAGACAGCACGATGAGGATCACAAGGAAACACTGCTGTATCCGCTGCACCCACTTGCACCCAGCAGTGCCTCCCGCAGAGTTCGCATGACGTGGCCCAACGCATCAATGTCTCCGTCTGCCACCTGGACCCAAGTTAACTTTCATGCACTCTTCGTTACTACGCCGGATTCCTGCAGGTTGTTTCCGGCGTGACCGCTGCTGACGCAGAACATGGAGCAATATTGTGGTTCGCCGATGTGGCGACAGTCTGTAGAACAGTCTTCCTACGCAAGTTAATCACGGAATTCTGCGTGCTCTGAGTGGCACCTCTCGGCTGAGCTTCTTCATGGTGGACTTGATGACTTCACTGAGGGCCTCCAAGCGGTGGAAGGCCTGGCTGGATGATCGGGTAATCATGCACGACACTTCACATGGCAGTTGCTCAGCACGCCATGGCCACCTGCGTGTGCAGCTCACGAGCGAAGGACTCCTGATTCTTGCAGCCAACTTGCAGCCCTTGCTTCTAGAAGCTACTGGGGCTTTAGATTTAGGTACATTCTCCGCTCCTTCCAGCGCCCGGCCAGCTCTCGCAGGCTCCGTGCCAGGCTCCCCGCCTGAAGGGAGAGCGCCTGAGCGGAACCCGGCGCAGAGCAGAGAGCGGAGCACACGTCACCGACTCAGACGCAGCGGTTTCCGGGCCGAGTTTGCCGCGGAAATTTGCCTGCGAGGCTCCATGAGTTGAAACTCATCGTCCAGACCTTTCTTGAAAGAACCCCTGCAAGTCAATTGCACTGCACCGCTCGGGTCATGGCAGAACCTCGTTTGGTAGGGCCGCGACGAGCAAAAGAGCGCAGTTTGGCCTGCGAAACAACGACCAACGAAACCTTCTTCCGGTTCGTGCAGTTGCTGGTTGCCCAAAGTGCGCTAGCCGCTAGACTCGCTAGACAGTCTCAACATCACGGAAGCGCGTGTCCTCAAACTCATCCAACGTCGGCTCGGATGCACGAAACTTCTTGTACCTGAACAAAGCTACGATCGGCACCTGGCTGAAAATGGTCAGAGGCCGCTGAGCTGGAAAACACAGGTTACAGGTCACTCTTCGTCAATGTCGCAGTTCCAAAGCCAGCTCCAACGCTCAAATTGCTTAAGGTACTTGTTCTTGCCATCTCGAGCCTCTCAGGCTGAGCATGTCTGAAACACGAAAAACTGCACCATCAAGGCGCGTCTCTCAGACAACGGCACTTTGTATGCTGCCAGTGAGGAGCAGAACCACCTGCCGAGATTGCAAACGGCTGTCGCGACGTGAGCAGGGACCCGGCCTTCAATATTTCTTTATCCTGTGCCACTCGGTCGTAGAAGGTTCCCTGCGCCCTGCGCAAGTGCAGCCGCAATGCGGCAAGGAGTCCGACAAGGCATGCAAGCAAAGACAAAGCGACGCGAACCCTGTGCCACTGACTGGCGGCAGGTTCGGATTGAGCAGCAGTTGCACCTCAACTCACGAATTCTCTATGTGTCTTCTTCCATTCAGTGTCGGGGTGAGGTGACAAAACGTCTACTTGAACGGCCATGCGCTTAAACAGAAAAGTGATGGATGAAGGCCGATCTTCTCGAGCCGCACGAACCGAGCAGTTCAACACCAGCCTTCAAGAATCCCTGGCTCGCAGCTCTGGGCTGCACACGGTACTTGGGATTGTGACAGTATCCCAAGCCTCTTGCGGCAGGTTCTGTCAAAAATGCATTTCTCACGTGCACGATGTACACGAAAACGTGCCGCACAACTGCTGCTGGAATGACTGGATGTCTGCCTCGATCATCTTGGAGCACTTCAGCAAGGCCTTTAGTGGCATTCGTCCTACTGGCAGTCCTTTCGCATACAGTAACTGTGCGGATGGTGGAGACCCAAAGATCTGTTGACATGTGGGTGCAGAAATCGAAGTGGAGAAGACGGCCACCAAAGCTAGGGCAAACAAAGGAAGCAGAGTCGACAGAGCTCGGCCGGTATTGCTTGGATGCTCGGCAGCATGGACGCAAGCACATATGTGTTGCCATGAAGCTTGAAACCTTCAAGACGATAGCATTCTTCTGCATTACACTGGCCCACGCACAGACACACCCTTGTCGTAGTACCTGGGCCGACCTCATAGCACTCCGGAGTGTCCCTGCATAAGCAGTAACTCGGCCACCTACGTGCAGCTTCGAACTGTCCCGGTGGTGGGGTAGAAAATAGCTGATTACTGAGGCATCAGACCCGAACCTGCTATGTAGACTTGGCCGCGAAAAGACAAGATGCAAGTAGGTACATATCGACCTTGTAGTAATGGACCTTTCTGCAGTTGAATCATAGGTGAACTGGTAAGCGACAACTCCCGCAAGCTACACACGGCTACACCTATGCCGGGGCAACCCCAGGAGTCTCTCACGTCGGACAAGGGCAAAGGCCTATAAGGGAAAGCAGCAACACGAACACTCCAACAGCTAATGAACAAGAACTCTCTGGAAAAGAGAGTGTATGGCCACACTGTTGAAGCAACTTTTCCAGGACGGCAGACTCTCTCTCTCGCTCTCTCACACGGACTCAGTTGCCTGTCAGCCGCGACGCGGAACATAGCGACGGCAGACTGCCGACAAGAAACATCAACATCATCCATCAATGTTGAATCTGTATCTCATTTATCTTCCCTGCCGGGCCCTGTGCAAGCCAAAAACACGCCTAATTTCCCCGGTTGATCGAAGGTGTTTCAGGTCAGGTCGACAGCCCATGAATTGAAGCAACACTGCTTGAATGCCCATTCCGGTGGGATCGTAGTTCTAAGTTCTAGTATGTTCTGGCATTCTAGTATTCTAGTAGCCGCCGGCGCTAGGAACGGCGCATCGTTCCCCGAGGGAGCCGCGTTTCGAACATACGCTTTGTCGTGCTCCATCCGCAACAACACATTCTGCATCGTGCACAGCGACCTCAAGACCTTCAGTCAAACTTACTAGTGATGGCCAGCGAACCATGCATGTGCAACTTGTCTTGCATCTCTCGTCCCTCGCATACTTACACAAGCTGGGAAGATGTGCTTGCCTGCGCAGTGCGCCTGTCTCGCAGTTGTGTTCAGAGTCGCCGCTGGCATTGCTGCCAGTGTTCCAGCTGGTCTGGCGTGACGGGGGGCATGATGTCGGTTCCAGCTCTGGTTGTGTTTGCCGGCCGTCTGCTTGCGCGTCCAGGGTGCCGAGCTCGACCTCAGGGCCGAGCTTCGGCGACTTCAAAGCAGAGATCCGCTGGGATGAGCCGTAAAGCTTGCCAGGCACCACAAGGGGCAAGAAAAACGCCTGTGCAGTGAAAGAGACGAGCACGGTGGAGAGGGATCCTAGCTGGCAGCAGCCCTCGAACGTTGGCAGCACAAAGGTGAAGTGCACCGATGCCCCTGACCGTTGGCTGCCTCGTGGTCCATGTAGAACAGCATGCCCGGCGATGGCAACTTTGCAGTGGGAGGTGCTCGTCTTGACGTCGGGCGGGCCCTTGTAGCCACGGCTGTCTGTAGCTCCCGCGGTGGTTCGGTGCAGGCTACAGACAGAAGCCTGCGACTTCCGAGACTCCTTCGCCCGATGTGGGCGTCATCATTCTCGTCCTCGATTGCTGTCTCGACGCATATAGAGGTCCTCGGACTGGTACCTCTACGTACCTGGAATCCTCCATCCTCCATCGTGCCGTCGTTAGGCAAACCTGGGGGGCGTCCTCAACCCGGTGCCCAGGGAGCCGCTATCTTAGCATCCTCGATATTCCTCTGGCGCTCGTGGGGGTGTGGTCGCTCTAGTTGATCTTCGGTCTTGTGCCCTCCTCGGCCAAGTCGATTCGATCATACTTTCTTCCGGTAGCTGCACACACCGGATTTCAAAGAACTGGTGCAAAGCCTCTTGCCGAAGCGGAGGCAAAACTAACACTGTTCTGCACCCAAGCTGCTGCGCATTCAGGCCTCTGTCTGCACACCTTCTCTGCTGCTCCGGCTTGATCCGGCTTTGGCGAAAGGAAGTGCGCCAGTCACGTTCAAGGCTGAAGCACGTTCAGGCCACCTCGCTCAGGTGCCTGTGGGGCTGGCTTCACACAACAGCACACCAACAACATCGACAAATGAAAACGTGCGAAACACAGCCAACTTGACACGCCATCGCAAGTACCCCCGTGTATCTGGCGGTTCGACTTGCACATTGCAGGACAGACTTGCAAGTGCTGGGGCCACAGCCACAGCACCGCCATTGATGGCACTCTGAATGTCTTCCATGGATGGCTGCAGGCATACCTCATAAGGTGAAAGCTGGTACCGACCTGCAAGCGACGTCGGCCCAGGCACTGGCCCCGAGTCCATCCAACTGCAGCTCCACTTCAAAGAACGCTGGCCTAGTGACACGGTCCAACTAGACAAACTCATTGATACAAGTATTGATGTGGAAGAAAAGCACAGAGAGAGAGCATCGGAGTTTTTGGGTGAACGGCGGGGTGGAACCGTCTTCGAGCGGGCGAGCGGAGAGGCGCTCTTTCACCTGAGCGGTCTGCGCTGCTCTCTCTCTCTCTCTCTCTCTCTCTCTCTCGGGGGTTAATCTTTGCCCGAAATGGGGCGCCATGTGCCTTGTGCAAGGATCGTTTCGTTGCTGCCAGGAGGGACTGGTACATGCTCCAGTTGTAGTGCGCCTTCACCTGCTGTCTCGATCAAGGAACTTTCTCGTTCAGTCAAGTCGGGGCCTTGATGATCTCACTCTCGGAAATACGACGCACGTGCGCGTCCAGGGGGAACCTTTGCATTCGGAAGGGCCCAAGACAAAGGGAGTAGTCAGGGAGGGAGGGGGGGGAGCTGGAGCAGCTAGCTAGCGGGAAAGAGGCAGAGGACAGAGTCAGAGAGCGTCGGCTCGGCGGCCTTCACCGGCCTCAAGAGTTCCTGTGTGCAGTTGCTCCGCCCGTGCGCGGTAGCACTTGCAAGGAGCCCAAAAGGGCTCAGGTCGGGAAACGACTGTGCTGATGCAGCACCGCTTAAGAATCAGGCGCAACTATCGTACCCAGCATGTCGTTGACCTTTGCTGCACCGGACCGACGGACCGTAGAATGCAGGAGAAGACGCTTGTTATAACAAGCGCCCGCTCCTGATGAATGTCTGAAATCGAGTGCTTGGGGCTACCACAGCAGCCTCAATCTCTTGGTTTTTCGCCACAAGCCACTCCCTCAGCTCGCGGGGAGATCGTATCAGCGGAGCAATTTCCACAACATGGATCAATAGAATATTTGATGGCTGCGTGAGTTTTGTCTCGGCGCCACACGTCGTGTGTCGAACATGCCTTTCTTGAATGTCGACCTCGTGGGGTATGCCACTATGCCAGATTACATTCATGTCGCAAAGACCATTTGGAAGCACAAGCGGGGGTTGGTCATGTTTGCAGTTCAGCAGGGGTTGCAGGAAGTGATGACTTGGGCAGTCTCATTCAGGACGCCGGTTTTGGACGAAGCATTGGTCAATCTCGTGCTTAAGGTAGAGGGCCAGACCTTTTCCCAAGGTCATGCCAAGACTTGCTCATCCTTTTTTGGGGCGCTGCATCAGGGAACGTCTCCAAGCGCAGGCTATATACAGGGCCGTAAGCAATGTCACCACAAGGCAAGCCATCCTCTCTTCACTCAACTAGCCTGGGTCAGGAGCTGCGGCCTGCTCAATGACACCAGCTCTGGCGAGGTGGCGATGCACCACGAAACAGATGGAAATGTTGACGGCATTGTCGAATACCTTTAGTCACTGCAGTCATCATTGAGGCACCAGCACAATGCGAAATTAGCAAGGCCCAAACCAAGGCATTGTTGGCTTCAGCCGGGATATGGCTGCACCTCAATTCGCAGGCAAGCGTGTACACACCCGCTCACCCGCCCACACCCGCACAGGCACGAAGAAGCAACCGAACCGAAGGAAATCGTGGCCGAGCGAGCCACGTTGACCGCCTGAGGCTTTCCCTGCGGGTTCAGCCCGACCTGAGCGCACGCCGCAGACAGCAAAGCCAGATGAGACGCAAAAATGTACGTTCGCTTGTGCGTTGTCTTCGCCTGTTGTTCTCGCTTTCCCCACCTCGAAGCTGACCATCTGGCCCACGTTCAAGTTCTTGGGCGTGACCTCTCTGCCGTGAAGGAACACATCGCAACCATACCTTGGATGTTTCTTGGCATCGGTCTTCAAATTGATTTGCAATGGCAGGTCCAAGTGGCAAGGCTCGTACCTGCTCGCAAGCGATGAAGCCATAGTTGTTGCCAGGATTGAAGGACTTGATCTGTCCAGTGGAAACCTCGCCAGTGCCTTGGATCCAGCTTGATCCTTCAACCTTCCAGAAATGCCATCTGCATGAAACAGCACTCAGCATCTTTGCTACATCTTGACAGGTGGCCAAGAGGTTTTGTCGCTGTCTTGGCTTCGATGCAAAGCAAAAACGTGCAAGCAAGGATTCATAAGGATTCGCAACTGACAAGCCGTCGACTCATCACCAAGCGTCTTTGGGCTGCTGCGGCTCCAGCATAACTTGTTCAGTGAGGTCGCCCGGGGTGGGCTCCCATAGTTCGTCGCAAGGGGCAGCATCGGATACCTGAACCAACAGCCCACAGAGCCGACTTGTTGAAGGGCGGATGCACTCCGGCTTTACCATCGAATGCTCCATCACAGCGATTCCCGAGCTCCAGCCGAGTCAGAGGTCATAGCTCAGCACCTTAAGACGCCTGAAATACCCTTCATATCTGCACATGCCACAGGCCGGAGGCATGGGTTTCAGCTGGTATCACGTCCCCGATATTCCCTCGCACAACAAAACTCTTGTAACGTGGGACAAACATCTGCCGCTTTGGGGGGGTCGAAGCACTTCGTTCCCGTCTCCTACCGCCTGGACACTGGTCTGGCCCGCTCCCTAGGAGGCCTCCTTACCCGCCTTCACTTTGCTAGGTTACTTCGCATGGTATGAGATGAAACAAAAGATCGGAAAGAGAGCCAGCGAGGACACCCGGCATGCCGCCCTCACTCCCCTCACTCATCCCTCTGCGTTCAGAGCTTGAAGCGTGCAAGCCTTGCTTTAGCATGCGGAAAACGCATGTTTTTCGGCAGAAAAACGACACGGCCCAATAGGCAGCTACGCACTTTCTGACTTCTCCCGCTGGTGCGTTGCAGCCTGCACCGTGGTTTCTATTGCCAGTGACTCGTCTGCTGGCTCCCCCTTGGACCCAGCAGGCGGTTCTGTAAAATGGCTTTCCTGGACGCGTTTAATGAGTTTAATGTCGCTTACTGCCTCAAGGCAAAGTCCTTGGTCATCCAAAACACCCCGTTCTGATATGTTCTGACATCACGACCTTTTTTGTCACTCGTGCTCGACAAGTCAGACGAGGTGTATGTATACATATATGTATATGTGTGTAGACATGATAAACTTATATTTGTCTATCTATATATATATATATACACAAATGCATATATATATATATACATATTGTTTATATGTATGTGCATAGTTATCGTAGATATCCGAAACCTAAGTGCTGGAAAAACACAGGCCCGTACTTCGACGTGTTGTGTATATCTGCATTCGGTAACTCAACCCTCCGAGAATCCAAACCTTTAGTCTGCGTAGGTCTAGTATGTCGGTATATATCTGTATACATGTACATGCATATACACATGTACGTGGTGACGTGCTCGTATTTGCACATGCTGCAGAAGACAGACGTACTGCCGGAAGGAGCACGCGCCATAAATGAAGCAAGAAGAAGAACGACGTTATGACATTGCTCCTCGAAGCAGTCCCCCCAAAAAAAAACATACCAAAACCCATAAACAACGGTTTCAAAACCTCAGAAATCTGAAATGAGCACATGTCTCGGGAAAGTCCCCACAAAAATGCCAAACCCACAGCCCAAAACATGAGCATATTCCTCGAGGCAGCCCCCAAAAGACAAAATTGCTAAGATTCCAAGCTATTCCGCACTGCTTTATGTTTGTTCTTGGGACTGTCTCGAGAGAGATATGCTCATTCCTTGGTTTATGGGGTTTAGCATTTTGGGCTTGTTGTGGACTGTCTCGAAAGAGATATGCTCATTCCTTGGCTTATGGGTGTTAGCATGTTGGGCTTGTTGGGGACTGTCTCGAGAAATATGCTCTTTGTGAATCTTTGGTGATTTTTAAGGTTTTCCGGACTGTCTCGAGAAATATGCCAATTTCTTGGCTTGTTTTGGCATTTTCCTTTTGGGACTCTCTGAGACATGGCCTTTGGCATAGATCCGAATGCTTCTTGTTTGGTTACTTCCTCGAGAGATACGCTAACTTCTTGGCCTGCGGGCGTTGATGTTTTTGGTGTTTTGGGGACTCCCTCGAGGACTATGCTGATTTTGGCTTGCTGGTTTTTTGTTCTCGACCTGTCTGGACAAATGGTCGCTGGAATAGTCCGAAATCTTTGCTTGTTGGACTGCCTCAGGAAATGTGCTCATTTGTTCTCGGCTGTGTTCTTCTTGTTTTTCGGTGCTCCCTTAAGCCTTAAGGAAATGCGCTCATGTGTGACAAGGTACCTGCTCGGAAGGGAAGCAGATGTACGTAATATTACGTAATACATAATTGTATAGGCTTGGCCAGGCTTGGCGAAGCCAGATCGCTTGCATACCATTCGGCGCACGTATGCAGCAACAACACAAACCTTGCGAACAGTGAGCACTTTACAGTTCTGCTCCATGCGTATCGAGAAAACCTTTGCACGACGCTCTGCAAACTTGTTTCCTTCTACATAAATCAGTTTGTCGCTGTTCTGAAAACAAGGAAAAGTTTGTTCAGCGTTTGCTTATCAATTGCTTGCCACATGATGTTATATACAACTTATCACGGCTAATGATTAATCGGGTTGGATTAATCAGTACATAGTTCAAGCTAACATCAGTGATATGTGTTTGTCAATCTCCCCTCTGGTGTCTCATCCATGTGTCTTGGTTAAAGCAAGTTTGCCTTAAGTGAAAACGTCATGATGGACGGATGTGAGCTTGTCCATGCAATATTTACATAGTGTTTAGGCTGCGCTTCAGGATTACGCATCAGTAACTAAGCCTTGCACACCTACTTTTCAATACTTTAATATAACTATCGCCTAGATCCCTTTCTCCACAAGGAGAGGCTTTCAATTAGAATTCAAGTTATTTACGTCTTCGTCTAGTACGTGAGGGTACTTTAAAGCCAACCAGCATTTCATACCCTAGACTTTAGATGTACCTGACGATGAACGAAGTTTCATGAATGAGGGAGGACATAAACATGCTGAACTGCATGATGTAAACAGTCTCCGCAATCTACAAATGAATTAGCACTCAGCTCCTGAATAGTTCTATACCTCATTTCGGATACTGCACCGACTAGCTATGTCAGTATTGGTTGAGTACTAGGTCTTCGTGAACATGTTCTAGGCAGACCTAAATATAAGGCAAGATATTGGCAAGATGCCACGAACCATTCAACATATGCCTCTCCAATATTGGTTTCATACCGACTAAAACAGAAGCGCTAATTTATGGCAGGTACTGGTAACTCATACATTCGTCACATGAGTACTCGATGAGCAGTACTGAGGTATGACTCTAACACAAGAAACAACACACGCATTGTAATTACTCTCCGAACATTAAATGGCAAGCAGTACTGGTAACTTTTGCATGCGTGTTTTCTACGTCGCTGGGTTTCTTTGGGGTGTGTAGGTCAGGGCTGATGGTTTGGAGCCGCAATTTCAGTGCATGTATTTACTTATTAAATCGCATAGCACGAACTCGTCATCGAGTTCGTGGGTGGGTGAATGCTGTCAGAAAGAATGCTGACGGCAATACTTTGGGGCTTTATTGCTGTTCCGGTGTTGCGAAAGAGAAAGGCAGAACTGTCGTACTCATGGATGCGTACGGTTGAGAAGAACGCTGACGGCAGTGCTCCGAGGCAATGTTTCTGCTGCAGCAACGCAAAAGACAAGGGCAGAATATGTTCATTCGTCGATCATGGGAGCACATGCCATGCACATGGGCTGCTGAACACTAGCGGGCGTTGATGGACAAGAGCATGGGTAAACGGTTCTGGTTCATAACAACTTGAGACCTCTGGTACTGGTAGTAATCATTCTTCGCTCACCAACCATGGAGTATCACGTTTGAACTTCACAGGAAGCAGAATTCATGGCAGCAGCAGCATGCGAATGCAGCTGCAGACCGTCTTGAGCAAACTGTGCCTGTCTCTGTCCACCCCTCAGACTGCTGTTGAGCTGCATTCGGCTTCCCTTCACGATTCAGCACTGCATTGAAAGAGACGGTCGACCCAGCCGCAAGCTTCGATGCTATTTCCTTGCCAACGTATACCTCGGAAGTCGACTCGCAAGAAGGGACCAAGCGATTCACTCTGCACAGTCTGTTCACAAATCATGCCACCTTGATCTTTTCTTGGTAAATACTCCGTTCCTCCTCCTGCCTAGCGTGGCTCACACGTCGCGCACCGTGAGAAAAGCACGTCTCAACTCTCTGCCAGCTACATCTCGGTCCAGAAAGGTCTTGACCTCCTCACATTCGACGAAGCAGTGTCCATTTGCAGTTGTCTTGAAAACGCCTTTCCTGAGCTGACATCACTCGACGACCCATGCCACGATCCGACTGCAAACGAGTGTCAAGGCGAAGCCCGGGGTGCCTTGGCTGCGCTCTGAGATGCTGTGACAGCCGTCCTGCCATGAAGAATAGAAACAGCTTCCCTGAAAGATGCACTATCTGTGCATCCCGGATGTCAAAAGTCCAAGGCGCTACATTTCAACCGCAACAGGTTGGCAGCTTGAGGCTTCTGATCGTCTGACAACGAGAGGCCAAAAGCAACAAGGTCTCCTCAATTCAATTCGCAAAACAACAGCCGGGTTCCCGGTAGTTTAAACTCGAGCACAGCATTGCTCCTACATGTTCGGGATTCTGCAGATCAGTCCTGGTCCAGCCAGGCTTTGAGCGAGGACTTGCAGCGTCACGAACACATCATGCCTCAGCTGAGTTCAGTTGTTCCAACAAACATCCTTTACGATTGTGCCAAGGAGCCCGAAACGGTCTCTGACCGGCTTGCAATCCTGAGGCTGCTTTTTTCTCACCATCTGAATATTCCATATACAAAAAATACACTGCTGCACACGCGTGCAGGCATGCAGTCTCGTACATGCCTGGAAGTCTGCCTATATCAGCGTACGGATGTGGTTGAGTCAAGCTCAGCCGGATCAAACCCCAATGGCCGTGCATCAAGGGCAGGCCAGAAGAGAGGGTCAGGGGCCATATTGGGGCGAAGCCTCTCCCTGCATCCTGACAGGAGAAACACAGAGTCGATTGGGTAGCAACAGAGACGCGGGCCTAAACCCACGGATGTTTTCATCCGTGGGTGGATACTTGGATGACAAGTTCATGTTTCCGTCGCAGTCAGTAGCTAGACGGACCGCTATCAGGGGGACAGACGGACGGTTAAACTGGACATAGCGCAAAAATCGGGCATGCGCCTGGGACACTACCACTTCGGGAAATGCAGGACACTGCAAGTCCAGAAACTGCAAACAAGTCGCAATGAAGCCACATTCGCTCTCCTGGGCTCTTGTTCACACAAAATTTTGCCCCGTGCCGAGCAAAGCCACCCGTCTCGCCATGTTCTGGCAGGGTTCCGGAAAGACGCTGATCACGGTCCCCGAGAATACCATCAGAGCCTGATAGCATTGACAAGGAAAATTGGGCAGTGCTCAAAGCACTTTCCTCTCGATTCTTTTGACCCTGCCTAGCGGTCCTAGCAGATCGTAGTCAAATCTGCATGCAATGCAGCGGTATTGAAACGGCGCCGGCTTCCGGCAAGGACAAAACCCGCACAATGGGCACATGGGAAAAAGTTTCAACCGCACAACAGCTGTGCGGTGTGCCTGCCCTGGAGCTGCTGGACTCGTGTGCCTGCCTGCGTGTGCTGGGCGGTTGCCGTTCGAAGCACGTGAATCATTGGACAACGCGTTGCTGCACATGAAACTACCCCGTGCTGCAGGCATGACTCAAAGATGTTTGCTTGCATGTATACGTGTACGGACCGTGGGCGAGAGTTCCGGAATTCGCTCTATCGACAAAAGACGAGCTTCCAAAAACAGACGCAAAAAGACTTCACGATCGTCGTCGACAGGTGGGTGACCATCCCTCTTTATCCAGGCACTGCTTTCCCGCACCTGTGTCCAGCCGCTGCCGCTTGTGTGGCGGCGGAGTCATCTCTTGTTGTTGACAGCCATCTGTGAGTGAACGCACCTCAAGGAATACTTGCAAGCGGAGGCGTGCGCAGCCGACCTGACGCGAGTACCCCGACAAAGCCAGGAGGCATTGATTGCTTGTGGCTGACCCTTCGGCGAAAGCCCAACTTCGAATTGCACTGTCTCGCCAACGTAGTGGCCAACAAACTCTCTGCCTCAGGCGGATGGCTCTGGCTAATTACCTGCAACATCTCAACGGCAACCTGTCCTTTCCGAGGAGCCGTGCATAAACGTGTCGCAGCCGTACAAAGCCTTGACCTCCTGGCCGTTAGGGAATCTCGAGTGACTTGCCAGAACTCTGCTGGCGAAGCAAGGAATTGCCACTAAGAACAGGGAAAACTATTTCAGCATCTGCTTCAAGACCTCAGGCCGCTAATCCTGGCTTCCCGAAGTCCGTTACTGTCTGTGCTCGGTACCTCGCAGTCGATGAAACCATAGTTGTTACCTCAAGGCATCATTTCGACTAGCAAAAGACAGAGGTGCAGTATGGACTCATGGCAACCACATTGTCAAGCAAAGCCGAGAGTCTATCATTGAATGATTTGATGAAGCCTCGGCAGAACTGCACCGTCCTTCACAAGTAGTAACGAGGAACGAGGAACAAAAGCCATAGCCCTAGTGCCCTAGTGAAAACTTCAGCGTGCCAGTCGCACATAAAACAATACACGTGACTGTTCCAACATTCGACGAGGGTCCAGAGCTCATCATGCCACTTGGGACAGGCCTCGCAGAGCCTGTACGGCATGTCTGCACTGGTTCTGTGTTGGGCCCGGGTTCGGGACTGTTTCGGCTCTTGGTTCCACCCTCCGACGAATGCCATGCCGAAGCTTGCTGAAACAGACTTTTCCATTCCACTTGGTGTGTGAAGGCTTGCGACTGAATCTGAGCCTGGCGTGGGTTCTGCGAGGGCTGCACCTTACTGTTCCACATGGCTGTCTGGCCCTGGCCCTGGACGTCGTTTGTACTTCGACGGACCTCTGGTCTCAGGCCTATGTCTGAGCTGCTCCTTAGTCCTTGCTCCGATGCGTCGCAAGACTGGGCCGTGCTCTCGGCAAATGCGTGAGCATGCTTGTGTGTATCTTCTTAACGAGTTTGGCTCATGGCGCTCCAAGTTGACGTCGTGGATTCCAGCACTCTTTTTTGCGCCAAGGTCCACAACAAAGGGTCAGCCAAAACTCCATGTTGCACGGAGAGGGGGGGAGTGCTTCCTCTGCAGAAATATGAGACAGTGCCTGGTGACATCTGCCGACCTGCCGATTCGACTGGCAAATCGTCACTGCAGCGTGCCAGCAGCACCCGAGAACTTCCGAGGCAAGGCACTCGCCAGATCACGGTCCGAAGATGTGAAACTCCCCACTTCCGAAGCACATCTCACCCAATCAACGTCAGCATAACACCAGCGAGGGTCAGGCTTAAAGTCTCGGCCTGGAAGGCGAGAGGAGAGCTCGCTTCCTGTGTGGGCTTCCACACCTTGCACTTTGACCTGGCAATGCACTCAGAACAGACCAGTCTGAAGAGCACGCTGAAGAGACCTGAGCCCGCGCGGCCCAGACTTCTTCCGCTGCAAGATCGACCTGATTGGTTGGACAAATCCACGGACAAGCAGTCCAAACGAACCAATGCAGACACAGATGTTCGAGTACTCAATGCCACACAACAAAAGCTCTAAGAAAGCATGCCGGTCGACTTGCTGTGAGAGATCTGGCGGAATAGGGGACCAGTCTCGGCCACACTCGGCCATGTCAGAAGCATTCCTGGGAGCCACTCAACTCGCAAGCAACATCTCCAGCTCCCAGCGCAAGCAAGCTTCGGCATGCCCTGCGCGTTGAGAACCACGTTGAAGCCTACAGTTCCCGTTCCACATTTGGACATCGGCTTGCCTCCAGTGTTTAAGAGGCAGAACTTGTGGTGCCAAGAAACTAACCATCTGACCAGGTGCGACAGAGCAAGCAAGGTCTTTGTGCACATAGACATCACCTTGAAGAAGCAGATGAGTTCACTGTCCAGCGGCTCCAGCGAGAACCCCGCTACTCCAGGTCTTCCAAGATATCTTCACTGCACTGTGGCATGTCCAAGTGGCGGCCGAAAAAAGCTTTCACAACCTCGCTTTCTATGAAGCCATACCCCAAGCTCCCGCGTTTGAAGACACCGCTCCTTGCAAGCTGACGAAGCAGCAAAGTCAGGAGGGGTCATGTAATCGCTTCCATGCCCCTTGTGGTGCTGGTCATGCGGCTTCCACTTGCTTGCAGCAGCTGAGCGCCACTCACACGAGCTCGAGATGCTTGATTTTCCGATCTAGCTCAATACTCCGGCGACGGCCATATAAACAATTCGAAACTTGATTTGAAGAAAATGGAATAAGGGCCCTACGAGTCGAGCAACTCAACGAGAAATCGGGGACACTTACTTGTTCTCTGCAGCTGGCAGAATTGGCCCCATGCGATTCGGAGTAACGCAGTGCTGGTGGATTTATTGTCATTTGAGATGCTTGAGCCTGGCCCATCCTTCAGGCGTCTAACCCTGTTTCGTTGTTCCTTTCTTGTGCTTAGTACTTTTTAACCTGTGAAACTGGTTAACACCACCCCGAGGCACAACTCCCAGAAGCTTTTAAGCCTCGCAGCAGTGCGTATGCGCCATCCACGAAACACCTGAGTCGAAGCATTGGATGCGACGCCTCGCAGGGAAACAACCACACCCAAACACTTCTCACGACCCCAGCCATCAGACAAAACATGACTATGCCGCACCTGTGGAAGCCCTTTGTTGGAAACGTGGATGAAGAAAGCGACTACATCACCAGGTCCCGCGACACCGGAATATAGCACGTTCTCGAAAACATATACGTCCTGGCTGAATGCGCTCACGGGCAAACTCTCAAATCGCAAGTTTGCAGTTTCGGCTTTGTCCATTCATCTCGTGGGAACCATCAGACAGAATAACAGCGGACCACATAGCAAAAACATTTGTCCGCTGCCTGCCCACAACTTGCTTTCACATCGGGACAGTAGATGAAACCGGACCTTCTTGCCTGCGCATCCGCGCGGAATGGCAACTTGTTGCAAAAAAGCACAAAACAGAATCGCAAGCAAACGGTCACATGCTGCGGCGGGGATGCTGGGTTGTAGCTTCTGACGAGACCCCAGTAGACCTCAGTCACGGCCGAGCTGTGCAGCAAGCACATTATCTTTCAAGATTCTCACGCTCAAGCAATAACTGCAGATGCTTGGAATGGCAGCCACACTGCTATGCTCTGTTTGCGTGACTGTTGTTTGGACGGCTGGAAATTAGGTACCGTCTTGCCTCCAGACTTACTCGTCTGGCATTGGAACGCAGTTTGCAACCACACTTCTACGACCACCGGCTCAAGCACTACAAGTAGCACTCCTTCTAGCATGCAGCAAGTCCACGGCGCAGTCTTCATGCGTCGTCGTAGCTTAGGCAAGTCGGACGGATACCACCGTGGGGCTTTCTTGCGCTGAGACCGCTTGGGTCTGCATATTAAGCGAAAGCACCTGCTCCCCAGCCTGCCTTTTTTGGGCAGCTTGCCGAACATCACGGCCTGACCGTGAAGTAGGTGAAGGCAGGTCAAGGTCCGAAAAGCTCTGCCAACCTTGCGGGCTGTCATCCACGGCATCAGCTTCGAAGCTCTGTCTGCCACGCTTGCGTCCGGCGAAAGCTTCAGGAAGGCCAGAAGGCCTCCCAATCATGGAGAGACCGGGCTTTGCACCGCGCTTCATGCGGTCTCTGCCTGCTTGGAGTTGGCTTCAAGGGTACGGGATTCCACAGTCTCGGCGGTCTTGCCCTTGGGCCACAAGTTTCAGTAGGATCCCGCACGGCCATGCTGATCCACTCGCAGCTAAGGTACTCTTCTTTTGGCCTCGCAAAGGCCAGCGGAGGTGGCTGTCGCACGTCTTGAATGGAACTGGATACACCTGAGCTTGAAAGCCACTGGTTTGTTGATCATTGCCACAGTTCCCGCGGTGTGGAATCAACCAGGCCCTCCTGTTCCTTCAAACTCTGTGGCATAAACGGCTCCGTACACATCGCTTGCCACGACCTCAAAGACCCTGCCTTCACTGCCCTCTTCCACGGCAGACACGTCGGTCCCGACCTCCACGAGCCTTGCTGCTCAGTCAGACTGTGCACTCACACACAACAATCTCTTCGTTGCTTCCAGGGAGCTGGTACGCCATGGTACGCCAAGCGGGCTTGGGCTAGCGAAAGTGTCCATGAATGCCCGACGACATGTCCATGTGGTGCCGGAATGCGCCGGATCACATGACTTCTTAAACCAATGTACTAGTAGCTGTGTAGAGTGATATGTTGAACTGCATAATATGCAAGACAAAACCGACTAGGCCTGTCTTCGATCTTTGCCTGAGGATTTCAAGGTACAGTTTGTCAATTGTCAAATCTTGTGATACCTCTGGCTGCTCATGGGGGCATGGTTCGACCTTGGGCCTTTCAGACTGTCTCGTCTCATGTCAAACCGGCCCAGATCTGTCGCAGTACAGCTGTGCATCTTTCAGATCATTCAGAATTTGCATGCATCCGCAAACAAGAGGTGCCGTGTGCCAACGAAGACCAGCGAAGTGCCGCCATGGCTCACGAGAAGGGTGGCGACTGCCACGAAAACAAGGACCGTGGCAGAGAGTTGATGAAATAACGTTTCTCCAACAATTATGACAAGTCAGCCGCGATTGGAACAAGAGTGTTACATAAAGCTGTCTGAGGCCAAGGCGAAATCATCAAGACTCACGAGTCTGTTGTCCTCATGTATGTCAGAGCATCCCTTCGCAGCAAGGAAACCAACGATCTTCGCTTCTGCGATCTACGTCAGGACTTACAGGAAGAGACCGGGCATTCCCAGCAACAAGACCAGACGGAAGGCAGGGAGTGTAAGCTTTGCCCGAAACCACGGACTCAGGAGAGATCAGGTGGGACACGGGCGTCTGGAGCTGGCTCGATCTAAAGCCAGAAAGCTAGAGAACCTGAGATATGGGGACATGGCGACCCGAATGGGTTGCAAGCAGCATTACATTACAGCCTAACTCTGCCAACACTACAGGCCACTCCTCCGGCAACTCGGCCAATAGAACATGAGACACCAGGCGCAGGTTGGCATCAACCTCAGTGACAGAGTTTACAGGATGTTTCCAGCCCCGTCCCAACATGTCCCAATCGTCTTGCGCGTTCATCAGTCCAGCGGGGGACAATCCACTTTTCACGCTGCAGCATGGATCAATTCTCGGCAGTCCTGGTTGGAACGGTGTGGCGTGGTCACTGGCTGAGGTGTCCGTCATTCGCCCTGCACCTCGCACATGATACCCAGTAACAGCAAAGTAGTCACCACCACCACAATGTCATATGGTAGCCAACCAAGCTCAATAAACCCAATTCTCCCGGCTACGAGTAGCAGACTGTAGCGCAACAGGCTGCAAACATGCCGCCGAACTGGCACTCGCACTCTACAGTCTCTAGAGTCTCTAGTCTCATCTCGCTGACAAGGAGCCACACCCTGACTGTCCAGGTAAGCACTTGGAGGGTACTTGGCCGGCCCTCCACCGGCTCCGACTGCAACTGGCATCCTTGAGAAGACATCGGCCGACATCCGTCTACCCAGTGGGGTCCGATCTTATCAGTCCAAGCATCTTGAAGTCAGCTGTCGCATTGAAGAAGAAAGCAAGGGAGCTCCGCGGATGGTCCTTAGGTTGATGCTGGCAATGCGGCAAGGCATACGGAGTTTTGTCTGCGGAAGCCAGCTCGTTCCAAACTAGGCGAGGTGCGCTGGCATTCAACACGTAATGCCGTGCGGATTGGAATGTGTCCTTAAGGCTTTGAAATGCTTTGAACATGGAAGTGCCCGCCTATGAAAACAGCTTCGTCCTAAAAAGTTCACCTCAGCTGTTGCCAAGACTCGTTTGAAACTTGCCGCAGGATTTCCCCTGCATTCACGACCAAAGCCCCGGGCTTCGTAGGAACGCGCACCCAACGCTCCGAGCAAAACGCCCAAACCTGCTAGTCAGAGCGAAAGCAGAGAGAAATCACTGCCAGGGCCCGGGGCGATTCCTGACCGTGGATCGCGAGTCAGTCTTGGAGTCCAACCGGAAGCTTTAAGTACTGCAAGTACCGGTGCCAGCCGGTGTGAAGGCTGCTGTAGGTGGAGGGACTTTTTCACATTCTTGGGTGCACTTCTTAAGACCTGGCCAAAGACCGCCCGAGCCAGAGCCGGCCATCCTGCCCTGGAACGTGTGCCTTTCAAGGTTAATTATTACCGCCTCTCCCTCCATGCTTCTGATGTAGAAGTATGCAGAAGTATTATGGAGGATGCCCCTGAAAGTCAAAATGTTGCACTGGTTACATTCGGAGTAGGACCCGTACAATGTCTGAGTTGCCTTGGGCACATGTGCCTATATTCTCACCTCCTTAACCCTACCCAAGAGCAGCTGCTGATGAAACCAAGGCACGACAAGGCTAGACTCAATCTCAGACCGGTGCAAGAGCGTAAAGAAGGATGTGTCGACGTGCGGTGCAATTCCGTATTGGCCATCCTCGTAGCCTTGCGAGGCTGCACAAGGCAGGAGGGATCTAGCAGCTAGCACCGTCTCCATTACTAAGGCGAGCCTGAACAGGCAGGATACCGTGACAGCCTCAACCTCCACAATGGCGATTGAAATGCACGATCCAAGTATGAATCGGCTTCACCGAGAGCTGCGGAGAGAAACGGCAGCAACTTGCGAGCCAGTGCCTCCATGGCGGCTGCATACTGCTCCACCCTGCTCCTCCAGGCCAACCCAAGCTCACGGGGCCAGGGCATATCTTCCAAGCGAATGTTTCTTGGGCCATGCTCACGCTTGACGATGAACGCCTCAACCACGTTTCCTTTCGGCCTCCTTGGAAGCTTCCGGCTATGCAGCGGCAGATAACCAGTACCGGAAGGGAACCTTCCCTGGTCCATTGTATACTGTTGCTTGACTTCACACGACAAGCTCCCAAACTCTTCAATGAGTCGCGTCCCGGCATCCAAGACATCATGTTCGACGCCGTGGTTTACCAGAAAGAAGAACCCCACTTTTTTACAGGCATCGCGCAGGCTTGCCACAAAACCTTCGCGGTCTTTGTGGCATGTGGCCCGGGCCCAGTCGAGGGTCGGAATTTCGCTATCTGATGCGGTCGGAATGGTGTGGAGGCAGCTCGGAGCGGCCCAGGCGATTGCTTCCTTCTGCAGCCACGCCTCCTTGGCTTCCGCGTCGAACGCTGTTTCGCCCTTGCCTCGGGCAGGGCTTCGGCTTCGGCTTCGTGCAATGGAGGCACGATCACTTGCAGCTTCGAGAAGGCGACATAAGGCCCCCAAACCTGCGGCAGCTCCGTCTGCTCGCAGAGAATATTCCTCAAGGATCTGTCCTGATAACCGCTTGCTGCAACTGTCTTCGCAGCCACTTCGCCGCAACACAGTGTTCAAGCAATCACCCAGCTCGCCCAGAGAAAGTAGGCCGTCTTTGTCTGCATCAAACTCTTGCAAGCACTCTTCTGCTGACGCCAGCCGGAGTCTGATCTGGGCCATGGCAAAAGACTTCTACCCATCTGTTCCTTCGTGTTTGTCTTTCACCCGCGGATGTTGCTACGTTGCGCATCTCCTCGTGACACTGGGTCGTGTGATGTTGTGTGGCCGGCTCTTGTTCAACGAGTTGTCGGCAGGCCAAGTGCCCGCCACGCCACTCCGTGGTGTACCATCAACATTCCTTCGTGCTCTCCGCCTCAGACCCTTTAACTGTGCCACGCTGGTGGTGTGCATTCGCCTGATACCGGTAACAAGCGCACGCATCAATTTTGCAGCTGTTCCTGTCAACTGCACGACCTGCACGGGATGTTGCACTGCACTGCTCTGCACCAATGAAGCTCGCTTCGAAGCCAGGTGCAGAAGCAGAAAATCTAACGGAAACGACGAAACCAACCGTCACTCATTCACCAGGCTGGCTTCGAGAACGCTATCTTGCTTGTCGCACAACAGTCTCCCACAACTGGAGCTGATACACAGGGGAACGGCTGAAGGAGTCGGGGCGTGACTACTGGACCCAATTGGCGTGAAGGACGTAGAAAGTGGTCAATGGTTCGGTTTCAGCTCATCCGATTGCTCTTTAGACGTATGCTTGCGTTGGTTGCACTTTCACAGATATCAAAACGAGGCTAAGACGTGTCACCGATTTGAAAAGCAGTCTGGCTAAGCCATCACTGGATGTGGCACCCATCAGAACAGCAAACATGGTGCTCCACGCGCACTTGGTCCAACTCCTCCTCGCACTGGTCACGGTATTCACTCACGACGGGTCGACAGCGTCTTACTTGTAGGTAGCTCATTATCAATACTTGGTGATTGGATCCGCATTTCCCTATGCAGCAACCTGAAAGAATACGCTCCCGCATAAGGCTTTTACCTCTAGATTTTTGTTTGTACCGACTACAGTACCGACCCAGCCTTCAAAACACCTGAACGTGCCACTGAATGAAGCGACTTCAGCGGTCCTGTGTGCACGGCACTTCCACGTGGGAAGAGACGTTGATGTCCTCTTCCACCAGGCCGTTCCTGGCTTTGCGGCTTTGCCCATGCACAAGGAACGGGTCCAAACATGGCAGGCCTGGAAACGGGCTGCGCGTTGAGGATGGGAGACTGGCCTGATGTGAGCATGTCTTTGCATGAAGTTTTACGTAAGTGGGCCTTGAAAATCCCTTGTTCTCAGAAGCCAGACCCACGCTTGTTCTGATAGCAAGCGGTTTGCTGCGCTTCCGAGCTCCATTCTCCTGCAAGCAGAATGTGTTACACAAGCATCATGAAATGGGACAGCATGATCACTCCTCCTTGTCTATGTGCGAATCAATCACTCGAGCCTTAGGGGCCGGATTGATTCCCGGATCATGCTTCGCTCGTTCGAAAAATCGTATGGCGGTTGAGGCCAATTCAGAACGAGGTTGCAAGCCACGGCCAACGGAAAGCAGATCAACAGAGTAAAGTCGAAAAGCTTGATTTTCGATGCAAGGGCTTGAGGATATTAGATTTCGACAACTGCTACGGGAATACTTACTAAAAAACAACACCCAACGCTGAGCGGGGCAGTTCGGGGTGTCAAGACTGTTGTAGACCTGGAACGGCAAACGGGAGTAAACACTCAGGAAATGGAAGACCAGATTGCGGGCTCAGCAGCGGCAGCATCCGCATGATGCTGCTTCACATCGCCATAGCCACCTCGAAGGTACTCGATCCACTCCTGCATTGGTTTCGGCTGCCACATTAACAAGCAGACGAACACTGCAGGCCTCATAGGAGATTTTTCCATCATGCTTGAGATCAGCCTCGTCCCTCAAGTCACATTCGCCGATCGAGCGGCTTAAGTTTCAGGGCCGGCAACTTGCAAACATTCATCCAAGCAGCAACAGTGTCTGCACCTCGTTGCCTTCAAAGGTTTCACCCAGCACCTCCTTGAGGTTATCTACCTTCAGATAGTCTCAGATATGTCGAACACAGAACCACGCCTAAAGGTCCAAGGCAACCCTCGACAGAACCCTGTGTGCTCACGAATGCTTGCACCCGTGGGGCCTTTTACTCACCAAGCGATTCCAGGCATGATTCCGCATGCCAAGCGGCAGTGATGAAACCGGAGTTGTCGGTGTCAAAGCGACGGAAGGCCACCTGTCGCAGCGATGCCGGGCCCAGGCCCACTCCGTGAAAGATGCATTACGAATGGTTCTTCGGACTAAGCAAGCAAATCTCCAGCAGGTCGGGACTTGCCCCAAGGAGCCGCACGTGCTCTGCACTTGCACTCACGTGTTGGCTCCGCCCCCGCCCCCTTCAGAAGAACAGCCCAGTTTCCGCTGTGGTGTCGTGTTTACGCGGGCCCCGGGTCGAATGGTCGTCTGAACACGTGATGTCGAAGGCAGATGCTGTCGCGGTTGCCACATGTTTGAACTGGGATGCCCGGGCGGTGATTATGTAACCGTCTGCGTCTGATTTCGTGTCGCTGCCATACCCGTAGACGCCGTAGACACCGTGGCAAGAAGCTATGTTGAATGAGAGCTGGCTGCCTCGGCGAAAGCCTGCTTTCGTTGCTTTCATGTCTCAGCAAGTATGGAGACAGGCTTACTACCTGTCCACAAGCCCCGAAGGACGACCAGGCCTTTAGAAGGTCGTCGTGAAGCGCTATCCTTGAAGACACCTGGTTTGCTCAGTTTACTCTACATACAACTGCTGCAATCCAGTCGTCCGTAAAAGCAGGATGTGTGAGAGCATGAATGGTATAAGCCTGTACATCAAGCTACATGTTGGAACTCTGGTCCAGAACGAGGCCACCTGACACAAATACACACACACACACAAACGATGTGAAAACAGCGGTTGTCCACAACCGGGCGAAGGAATGCGAAGGATGTCGGATTCAACCGCTCAGCTGTTCGTCCGAGGCTAGCGCGTTGGCACGCACCCCGACGCTAGCACAATGCCACCGGACAGCGTGACGCAACAGGTACATGTACTGCATGATACTGCATGGCTTTCGGATCTCCCGCCCCCCTCCCATTCGCAGTGGAGTCGCCATTGCGGCTAGGAACTCACGGTAGTTGACCTCGTCCTGCCGACGACTGAGTGAGGAAACAAGACACTGCGAACTGAACCAGGGAAGTCCTTGTGGTTTGCATCCAAGGCTTTGAAAGCATTCCTTTCACAGTAGCTGCACAGGTGCCGAACATAAACGAGAGCGATGTCTGTTCCCAGCTGTGTTTGGGTACGATTTGTGTCTCACGAACTCATGACAGACTGAAAACGTTCCTGAGCGCTGCCTCTCCCTGCTACACACATGTTCATTTGTGATTGGGCTGCTGCTCCCACTTTTTTCCGCAGGCTGTTGCTCTCTCCTGCTTGCTTGCTTGCACTCAGCCAAAGAGGGCAGACCCCTCTCGCGCGCAGGCGCGCACTGGTTTCGTGTCCGTCGGGTGTGACTCCCGTTTGGTGGACTGATGCGCTGGCTCTCTCTCTCTCTCTCTCCCTCCCTCCGTCCCCAGCACGGCATGGAATGGCATTGCGGGACTCCAACATGGAGTCAAGGTTTCTTCCGAATGGGGCTCGAGAAAATAAACTGTACGGAACCTCGTTCCGCTCTGCTTTCGCTGTTCTTCACACACTCCACTGCCATCTACGTGTACCACGTGCACTCGACTACGACCTGGGATATGAACCACCCGGAACGAGTGCCAGGTCGAGAGTTTGAAACTGGAGTGAAGCGTGTCCTTTGGATTCAACGCAAGATTCGTGGGAAAGACACTCAGAAAGGAACACGCTTGCAAAAGCTGCAATCAAGAACGAACCATGTAGAATAAGTAACAATTGTTCTTATGTCGCTGTGTCAGGGATCTCCAGAGTTGCATCGTCCATCTTGATGTTCTGCTCCACAGCCATCTTGAACCTGGACTGCTTGGCTCTTCTTTCGCCAGTGACTAGTGGCTCAAGCAGCTCCCGCTGCCAGTCTTCTATGTCAGCGGCGACAGCAGATTGCAAAAAGGTCCAAGTAGCTCATTGATGGTTATGGTGCCACTTCTGTCTTTGTCAATCGCCAAGAAGGCATCCCGGACCTGGCGTCAGACGAAAATTTCCCAACTTCATGGCCTCGTTGTGGGCGGGCCTTGCTGCGCTCTTCCACACTGAGTGACCACGCCATCACGCCCAAGCAAGCCCTGCGGAAAACTGACACCTGGAGCGACGGGCTCTCACAGATCTTCCCCCCAACAGCTCCTAACTGCCATGCGCCGCCATGCATTGCCATGCGCCATGGCACTTTGGCAAAGTTGCAAAGGTCTTCGATCATTGCTTGGTCGATCAAGCTGTCCTTGCAGTGGACGGCAGGACTAGCCGAGCGGACAAAACATCGCAAGACATACCCATTCCCGGTTAACCATGAGTTCACCCTCACAACCGTATCGGACTCCAAAACAGTGGCAGCATGGTTTCACCAAGGCGACCAGAGCCGCGAAAGCAGGACTTCTCCGATCATGATTTTGATTAAAGAAAACACCCCTGCCGTCTGCTTCATTTCGTGAAGCCCGACTTACCCACCCGCCCTTCTGCCCGCCCACCCACGCAGCCGGTAACCTGCACGCCTGCCTCATCTTGTGCGTCACAAACCTCCAGGCAAACGTAGGATCAACCCACTGGGGAAAGTTATCTCCACTGCCGAGACCATGCACGGTCCACACACCAATCACACCCCAATTAATTAAGGTTTCTGTGAAGTGAGCCTTCGCAAACAATAACAGGATGAAAACATGCTATCAGGCTTGTCATGCATGCTTGTTCTCGCTGAGCACTCGCGACACTCTTTCGAAACGCCGAGCTTCTTGCTGATGATGTTGGCAACGCTTAGGACATGGGAATGAAGGCCCCACAACAAGCTCTCCGATCCGCCATCTCGATTCTAGATGCCGCCCAATTACTGCACTCAATGGAGAAGCTGCATCTTTTTCTGCCGCTTCATGTCACAAGTTTTAAGCTCCCTGGCTCCATGGTGCAACAGACACAAAGGC